ATATATTTTGTATATAGAATATAATACGATAATTTGAAATAATTGATATCCGATTAAAAAATATATATATATTATATAAATTTAAATAAATAATGATATATATTATTTGATAGATATTAAATAATATATAAATATAATTAAAATATTTTAATTAATGAATTATATTAATAATATTTGAAATATATAATTTAATATAATTAAATATTTTTAATATAATTTATTCGGATATTCTTTTGAATATTATTCCCGATAAAATATCTAATAGATGATTTTGCATATTCATATCTTTTGATATTTGTTTTATTATTCTATATTGAAATATTTTTATATTTTCTTTTTAGCATATATTCTAATAATTTTTCTACAATATCTTCTGGGATTCTTTGGCATCTCTTCTGATATTCTTGTTGGCATATCTTCTGATAATCTTTCTTCTAGCATATCTTCTAATATTCTTTCTGGCATATCTTCTAATATTCTTTTCTGGCATATCTTCTGATATTCTTTCTATCATTCTTTCTTGCATCTCTTTTGATATTTATTCTGACACTCTTTCTGATATTCTATCGGGCATATCTTCTGACATTCTTTCTGACGTTCTAGCTGGCATATCTTCTGCATATCTTCTGATATTCCGGAGCTGGCGGTTGAGGTCCGGTGGGTAACACGGCCATCCGGAGCTGGCGGTTGAGGTCCGGCGTGGAACATTGCCATCCGGAGCTGGCGGTTGAGGTCCGGCGGAGAACACTGCCATCCAGAATTGGCGATTGAGGAATAGGAGGCGGAAGACAAGGCAGACGAGGAGGAGGATGGCAATTGATATAGATCTAATATTTCTTCCCTGATAGGTGGGGAATAAAAATATATATTTAATAATTCAATTATAATCCATTTTCCAGGTAATTTGAATATATGGAATTCGATTTTGAAATTTAATCACGGATTTGAAATCGTGGGCAATAAAGGTGTCAAGAATCGATTATATCAACCCAACATTGTGAAGTTAGCAAGAAATTACTATCTATTTTAAATCCTCCGATTTGAAATAATTTATGCATTGGATCATACTAATTTATATCGTTTTGCAATCCTAATTCAAGACCTCTAATCAATTTCCATCAATTCAACCGGATATACGCTATTTCTAGCACGATCCAAAATACAACTATTTTCTTTATATCACTGGCCATGGCAAAAGTGACTGACGCAAGTGCCAGGCAGTTCTTAAAGGCGAACGGACCAAGTTGCTCTCCTTCCTCCGACTGCTCCTGATTGTCTGCCCCTCCCACTGGTACCGGTTATGCATACATAGGCGAAGGTTCCCTTGGGCCTGTGATGCTTGAATCAGCATCCGACTCTCCAGAATGAGTTGTGGTGGGGTGCCTAGTTTCACTAAGATCAATCCAAAAAGCGAATAAAATTTTATCTGGGGCAAGGATAGGAATAATAAATTCTTTTCTTTTCTTTTCTTTCTAAATATTTTTCATTAGGAAATCTTAATTTTAACACCTACATCAATAAATCTTTAAATTATAAATCCAAATTAATTAAATTCAACCAAGATTATCAATATCAAATTAAAAGTCATTACAAATATTATTATTTATATTTAGATAAATTTATACATTATATATATATATATTAATTCTATATATACAAATATGTTTTATATATTCGAATATTGTAATTCCTTATATATATATTTTAAATTATTCAAATTAAATATATAAATTCAAAATATTTATATATATTTTTTTTTCAATCAATATATATATATACGGCAATCCATCCCTGGCTGATCGGGCTACAAATAACAAGTAGTTATCTACTACTTGAAAATCAGCTTGCCTGTAGGCCTGCAAAACTAGCCATATAGATCTATGTACAAAATGTATGATTAAAAAATCACTACTAGATCTACTTGTACAGCAAGTTTACCAGCAAGGAAAACCTTCTTGGAAGGGAAAAACCTTGCACAAGAAATGAAATATGTCGAAACATGCGTATGATACAGCCACAAAAAAAGGGGCGCAAACCCTTCTTGGAAGGATGCACTCAGAGGAAGGCCAAGGTGAGGCGGTCAAAAGGAGCGGAGCCAAAAGCAAATGCGGTAGAGTCAGGGCGACAAGAACGTCCAATAGGCGAACAATACCAAATGCAGGAGTGATTCGTGCAACATCCAAAGCATAGGCAGAGGACAAGCTGCTGTTGAGGTTGGCCTACCACGGGTATACAAGCATCCGTGGTCACCGGTTCGGTGGAGACAAACTTGTGAATCAAGGATCCAGCACCAATCCAGCGACAAGGCCGGAAGCGTGCGCTGTCGCACCGGCTGCGCGACGCCGGCGTCGCAGCGCACGTCCTGCCCCTCGAGCCAGCACAACAGCAAGCTGGTCAAAGAGGCGGGCCTTCACCACAAGCAAATCAACCCCTTCAACTGCAGCAACCATGCCAGCAAGGCGGTGAAGGAAGGCTCGAGTTTCGGCCGTGCTGCCGCCCTAAATGTCCCAGACCAAGGGCAGGTAAAGGATGCCAGCTTGTTGGCACGAGCTGGCGGTGCCGAGGTGGTCACGCTTGCGTTGGGCATAGGCCGTGACTGCATCATGGGCTCCCCGCAAAGTGTCGTCCCAATGACTCGCTCCCAAGGCGTTGATGATAGCCACATCCAAGGCTAGAGCACTAGGCCCAGCAGGGCGGGAGCCATCAGGCAGTGCTGGAAGGAGACCAGTTGCACCTCGTAAGAAGATGTCTGTTGGCCGCCGCCGTGCATCCAAGAGTCCAGGAGCCTCGGCTTGGGGGCGGAGCTGGGCACGAGCACAATAGCCGTGCAAGAGGTCCCGCAGACTATTGTGAAGCGCAACAGCATCACCACCAGCCATACACGACTGTGGGTGGCGCCCCTTCACATCAATTGCCAAACCACAAAAACGGCAAGCACCGCCCCCAATGCATATATCGACGCCAAGGCGACCACCTACACAAGTCAGGAAGTCATCCTTGGAGAGGTTGGTGTTAAGTATGCGCGACGGGACCAGGTTCAAGACCGTGTCCGCAGAATCAGCAGCACAAGCATGAAGGCGACAAATATCATCGGTGCCAGCGGCAGTCTTCCAAGCCAAGACATGGACCTCCCGCAGGCGGCGTGAAATCGCTGACTGGCTCAAATTGCGCTCTGGCTGATCCCCGAAACAGGGTTGGAGATCAGCTTGTTGCAGCAGCCCGTTACAGCGAGCAAGAGCGAGGCTGTTGCTGCAGCAGAGCCTTCCCAAGCAGCAGGCGTCCATAAGGCATGACAACGATCCAGAACCATGACTCGAGAGCCAATGTAAGCAACATCCGCAAGGTCAACCGCAGAGCGAAGTCCGAGACCACCAATAGCAACAGGTAGCTGAGCTTGTTGCCAGGCCAGGCGGTCCAATGCCAAGCCAGTGGAAGCGCAAAACCCATGCAACGCCGAGTCAAAGGCCACCATGGCCGGAAGACAATGCTGAATTGGAGTGGTGCGAGCCAAATAATTCATCCGGCCACCAGTGCAACACCACCGCAACAAATAATAGGCAACCTGAGGGTCTTCGATTCCACCAACCAACTGCATTGTAGTGGCTTGCTGGGCGGCTCGCTGCAAACAATACGCCTTGTTGAACAGGTGATTTGAGGACTTCAAAGTTGCCATCCTCGTAAGTAGAATAACCCCAGGCAGCAAAAGGCCGAAAGTCAACCTGGTGGCGGATCCCAGAAACTGGCGCAACAGAAGCAGTGGACAAGCGAAGGCCAAGACGAGGCATAACAGTGGACCAATGCTGTAGGGCCCGCAATACCTCAGCAGAAGGCCCGGCCAAAAGACCGTCATCCGCATAACAGGGCGCCATGTCTAATTGCGCAGGTGGCTGCAGCGTGGGTAACGCCACAGCAGTGCCAGCAGGCGGGATAGCCAATCCCAGACTCTCCAACAAGAATCGCTGCACAACCGCATGGCATGCCGTCATCAAAGGACACCCCTGTTGGCCGCCTGCAACAGAAGGGATCACAACGTCCTGAAAGAAGACCTTGGTGTTAATATCGAAAGAATAAATATATTCCAATCATCGGGAAAGACCAGGGGCGACTTCTTGCATGCGCGTCAAAAACATATGCCGATCAATCACATTATGGGTATTCCCTTCATCATAAGACAGGCAAACTCGGTCGGTGTCGGCTTGGTGGTGTTGCCGCCATTGCCGGTATAAGTGCGGCATAACCTCGACCATGCCGGCACTCCAACGGCAAGCTGGTGGGACAAGAGGTGTGCCCGCAGGGCAGGGAGCTCACTCCGCAGTAAGACCTTGCCGACCAGGCGCAAGGTTTCTCCTGCACACAAAGGCCGCGCATCAGCAGCTCCAATTTTGCTCAGCTTTTCCAAAGCTGTGCCACGAACCCCACCGAGGTAAGGACGAAACGCGATGGGGGCCCGCCCATCAGCCCATCATCAAGGAGGTTGACCAAGTCTATAAGGACCTGGGCTCCGTGTTGCTCATCCCCAGCATCAACAAGTTGCTTGAGGAAGTCCGGTCGCATGCCAGAGGGCCCGGGCGCAGCACCACGTGGGAAGGAACGCACGGCCTTCACAACATCATCACAGCTTATGTCGTTAGCAGGCGGTGCTGCCGCACGCTATGTAATCGCCTGATGGGCCGGGCGAACAGGGAATTTGGCTTGCATAGCGGCAACAATGGCCGGAGTGATGGCAGCAATTGGAACCCCCTGCGGTGCAAGGCCACCAGGGGTCAGCCCAAGCATCCGTCGTGTTGTGCTATAAGACCTATACGATGCATCGGAGAAACTCTTTCTGCGCAGAGGGAAGAAGAACAGAATTAATTAAATTACGAGTGCCAATCGGAGCCGAAAACATATCATCCAATAAAGGAAGGCTGCCAAGCACTGTATCCAAGTCTATATCCAAACAAGCACCAGAGAAAGACAAAGATTAAGGGCGCGCAGCTAGCCGATCCACAACACAAGTACGGTGAACTCCACCATTACAACGGCGACTCACCAGTTTAAAGCACTCGCGGCAAAAGACCATATTCCGTACCCTCAACCACTCTATTAAAATTGCCCCTAGAATCTAGCCAAAGATGCGGGCATCATTGCCTTATAATTCCCGCCCTACTAGGCTTAAATATAGCTATCATCAACGCCTTAGGAACGAGTCATTAAAATAACACTTTACGAGAAATCTATAATACAATCACGGCCTATATCCAATAGATATATATATATATATTTATTTGGTTTATATAAAATATTCATATTTTTCTTAATAAAATTTAGATATAAAAAAAATAAAAATTCAATTAATTATATATTAAAATATATTATCTTGCAATATTTTAATTTTCTTTCTAATATATCTTTTAAATATTTTTTAAATTAAGATTCTTTAATATATTATTCTAACATATTTACTAATGTTCTTTCTAATAAACCTTCTAATATTCTATATGTTTTTTCTTATATTTCTTTTGACATTCTTTTTAATGTTCTATTTGGCATATCTTTTATATATCATTTTTTTTTCTAGCATATTTTCTGCACATTCTTTCTATCATTCTTTCTTGCATCTCTTTTGACATTTGTTCTGACATTCTTTCTGGCATTCTCTCGGTCATATCTTCTGACATTCTTTCTAACGTTCTATCTGGCATATCTTCTGACTCGCGGTTATGGTCCGGCAGGAACACTGGCACGCGACCCTCGCCGTTGAGGTCCGGCGGAGAACCCTGCCATCCATCCGGAGCTAGCGGTTGAGGTCCGGCGGGGAACACTGCCATCCGGAGCTGGCGGTTGAGGAGCAGAAGGCGGAGGACGAGGAAGAGGACGGCAGCTGACATAAATCTAACAACCCTCACCTGACAGGTGGGGGATAAGAATATGTATATAGTAATATATATATATATAGTAATTAAAGTATAATTTGTTTTCCACGTTATATAGTAATTAAAGTATAATTTGTTTTCCACGTAATTTGGATATATGGAACTCGGTTCTGAAGTTTGATCGCGGATTTGAAATCGCCGCAGTAAAGCCCTCAGGGATCGATCACATCAAACCAAAGTTGTGAAGTTAGCAGGAAGTTGCTATCTGTGTCGAATCCTCCAGCTTGGAATAGCTCATGCGCTGTGTCATGCTGATTTATGTCGATTTGCAGTCCTGACTCAAGATCTCTGATCAGCTTCCATCAGTTCAGCCGGGTGTACGGTGTTTCATCAGGTAGTGCCTGGCCAAATTAACGGGCATCCACTCATGACTGGCTCACATGGTCGACCAAAACATCAAAGAAATGCTAGATTGCAAGAATCGATCAGAATGCAAGTAAGTATTCACATCTATGAAGATCTACACAGGCCTTACAGATTGTCACCTGCAGAAAAGTCTCGCCTTGATCCTTAGGTGGTTAGCAGTTGGGTTTGTCCCCTTTTTGTTCCTTGCATATGCCGGGACTTGTCTGGCATGGCCTTGAGCGACCTGGAATAGCCGTGATTTTCGAAGGTGGACAAGGCCCGTCGAGACTTTACACCGCATATTCTACAGGTGTCGGGCCGAGGTCGGGCAAGTGTGTCATCTGAACGGTGAACGCATGATGAAGTGATGCTCACCCTTCGTCAGTGGGTATAGTTTGGAAGCAGGGGCAAGTGATCTTGGATAATCAAAAGCTCAAACAGGGAAGGGATGTGTTTCATCCCAGCACCTCTTCCCATTCACAAACCATATTCTTCTGAAGCCTTCATCCCTTGACAATCACGGCTGACAGATCTTTCGACACCTCTGCTGGGTGTGGCCCAAAATGCAAAAGCTGTAAATACTACACATCTTCAAAGCCCGCGGTGGTCGCCAGGGGCTTTGAACCCCAGTTCCAGCCAGGTCCGTGTCTTGCGCACAAAAACCCGGGCTGATCTGAATTCTGAGCATCCCAAGTGATGCCCGACAGGTGGCCTGTGCCCAAAATAGCTGCCATCTGTTGTAAATGTGCACAGTTCGGTCAGTAGATTGGGTCAATCAAATCCGTTATACAAGACGTTACAAGAGAGTCCCTAAATAACAAAAACGGATGCACAGTCGTTTACAGTAAAAATGGCCTTTCGGGGTGAAGATCCAGCTTTCACCACGCGCGAGACGCGCATTGGTGACTTCGAAATCTCATCGATACCTGCGGAGGTCTGCTCTGAAAAAGAGTGTACAGTGTTCATATATATTATATATATAATTGTATATATATATATATATGGCAGGCAACCTCCTGCTGCTCACCCGATGGACCCTCTCTAGTTTTCTGCTGCAGTGACGCTGATTTCCTGAAACCCTTCGAGAGACGAAGGGCTGCTAAGTCACTACGGGGTGAATGGTTTACCACTTTGGAGATCAAATCCAAGCACAAAAACATGCGACAAGCCTAGGCCAATGCGACGGTATGTGTTTACCATGCTGCTTCTTCGTGAGTTTGTGCGTATGATCACGCCCTTGAGGCATAAATGTCATCATATGTGCCGCTCAGGGATGCTTCAAAAACCGGCACACAGAGCAGTTTAGATGGCTTGTTGTCCACATGCAACATGGCGTGATCCATTGGCACAACCTGCTGTGCATCTTGAGACATTAAACCACTTGATTGCCTGACGAAGAGTAGATGAGCCTCGAAGTGGCCGATCAAATCTCTCCAGGTTCACCTCAAGCGTTGTTTAGCAGTGAAATCACCGGCACCTGCGTTGCTCCCCACGTCAACGACATTTGGGTGGGAATACATTGGCCCATGGGAGAGGGCCTCGCTAATAGAAAACAGATGTATGTAAGGATCCTCAAGGGTGGTTTATTGTAAGAGCTGCGAGTGTGTATCTTAGGTTGGGTTCTGAGAAGTTGGCAAAGACATTGCCGTGCTGTTTCAAGCTTTGGCTGGCAGACTTTAGACCCTTTTGAGTCCCAGCTGGTGCTTGAGATGTTGAGATCTCAGTCTTGAATATAATCCAAAAACCAAAGCAACAGGTGTCTACAAAGCCTTACACTACATCTCAGGAAAGCGTCATCAAACACCTCGGAATACCCCTGGTCCCCCGCTTTCCCGGTGGAAGGACGGGTCACTGGCTCCTGCAGTTGCTGCATCGCCTTCAGCTGCCGCAGTGTCCACAGGCGACTGCGGCACGCTGGGTGCGACTTCGGCCTGGGCGATGGCTCGATTTGGGGTTCTCCATGAGGGCGAGGGTCAAAACCAAGGCCCACCCAGACGTTTTTTTCAGGGCGTTCTCGCGCGGCACAACTTATATACAAACATGTAACATCCAAGCAAAACATGCACTCAAATGCACAAAAGCGGAATGAATGAACACCGCGGATGACATCTCACCCGTGGTAGGGACGTCATGGCTTTGACCGACATCATGCCTGAAGCGTGACAATGAAAACTTCTTTCAGAGTTGTTAACCCTACTACTGACTTCGCAAAGTGGATTACTGGAGCCTTGAGCGTGAAACATCAAGAAAATCCTTTCAATGTGCCTTCATGCCTTCATGTGCCTTCGGGTTGTTTACACCGTTTTCATGTTTACATGACATGGAGTCTGTCAAGCAAGCTTTCGATACAAGGCCTAGGTTTATATAGTTGTGATCCAGTGCGCTCGAGTCTGGAGTCAAACAGAAGAGACACAACACTATGCAGACAAAATGGCACCTTTTAACCCAACATTGGCTTTACCAACATCACAAGCACACCCACTCCAATCTACTGCTCTCATCCACCCCATCACTATGCTGCTGCTATGATCACTAGCTTCTCTCACCATTGGCTGATGTAGTTCCAAACTCCTCTGGACACTTCTCCTAATCGTCTCTGTAAGAACTTGTCAGGTTCGTTTCCAGAGGGAATTTGGGAGGGTCCACATGTAGCAAATCGGGGTACGCGCGTATTGCAAATGGGTCGTCTCAACTTGGGACGCCTCCGACCAATGGGTGGGAGGCTATCGCTAGTAAGGTTGGAGGCCAATGCCATCGCTAGTAGGTTGGAGGCAATCGCTATTAGGCTAGGTCAGCTAACGTTTATATACAGTAAACCTTTTGTGATTACGTTGCCCGGCGTGCAGATCTCACTGATGTCCATGCCTCGCTGGAACCGCTGGCAGGCTCCTGAAGCGGCTCCTCGGCTGGTCCTGGAAGCTGAAAGCCAAGCATGGTCATATCAATCCAATGGTCGACTGCCCCGAAACACATTACAGTAAGAATGTTGATCGACGCACTTCCAACTCGTCAGCCTGTCGATACTGACAATTAGAAGACGGATCAAGACGGTGTGGTACGGATCGTGACGGGCGAGGCACAGTGCTCTAACAAGGAAGTGCACCTGCAGGCTTAGCAGGAGCCTGATCAGCATAGCCTTGGAAGAGAGGTAGAGACACAAAAGACATGCACCCCTCGCTCTCTGACCAAGTGATCCAAGTGCAAGAAAATGAGCCCTAATCTAGCCGGGCCTAGCATGAGGCTAGCACCAGCACCAACAGTAGAAATGACCTGCTTTACTTTTACTTGCATGACCCTGCCGACAAAACATCTGAACAAATGTTTCAATCTATAGATTCCAAAGACTTGGTCGTCGTATTTCGTTGCGTATATCATATAATATATGTGCATAATACCCGTAACAACTAAAGCTAAAGGTAGATCATGTGGGGGTGAACACATGAATTTCTAGATTCTCATGAATTCCTAAGTTGCTTGCCTAGTTGGTCTAGTTGGGTCCCACCAAGTTGCTCCCACCGCTGCAGCAGTCCAAGACCACACCCTCGGAGGTCGGACAGCAAGCTCCTCGGAGTCGACCGGCACAAGATGGGACCTAATCGCGATGGCCTCCATGTCCCCAAAAGAGGGACCAAATTGGACCAACCTTAGAGGAAACCATGATGAAACCATCGTCCGACTCTGGAAGGGAGCTTGCTTTGTTTCTGTTTAAAGCCCACTTGATCCCAATTGCATCAAAACCTGTGGTGTTTGATTAGCGATCCAAAAGGTTTTCTTGGACTCAATCGAAGCAATGGGATGCCAGCAAGGAGTGTTTACGTCAGTGATGACAGGATACTGTTTCCGCTAATGGTCTTAAGGGGGGGCATCTGCGGTCCTGACTTCAGCTGCAAATCTACGCAGTCTGGGTAGATCTCACACTGCGCCCCTGAGGATGTCGCTGCTTCAAGGCAAAAGAAGGCAGCTCATGCCATAAACACACAAGAATCTTGAAACTTCCTATACTAAGGTTTCTATTACAAAGTCTGGATGCGTGTCTTCAAAGCCAGCTGTAAGGAATGTCTTCAAGAAATCACTGGAAGAAGTCTTTGAGAATGTCCTGTCCCCGACGGTGATTGGCCTGCGGGGATCGGCGCTGGCTTGGGCAGCATGGCACTGTAACAGCAATCCAACATGGTGCCCTGACTGCAAACGGTCAGTTCGGTTGCCGTGACTCTTGAGGACTCCTCTTGGCTAAGGTTCCTACGTAGCAACCCAACTACTCCAAAAACTGTTCCACCAGCTTTGAGGGTTTCTTGCTTTGCATCGCACGCAGCCTCCTTGGAAGGGCAGCAGGCGCCCTCCTTCAAGCCAGCCGCTGCACACTTGGCATAGGCTGAGCAGGAGGTCGGGTGCTCCTGGGAAAGAGTGCCGGGTCTTCCAAGATACGACCCAAAGCAGTCAAAAGCACCTATGATGCAAATCGGTGGTCCTCTGGGTCTTTCTGTCTTTCTTTGCCAAATGTACACACCAATTGGCTTCACATATGATCATATTATTCACAGATAGGTATTGTGGCCCAAGTAAGCTGTGGATATGGGACGTTGTACAATGGATGTGTGTTGAGATAGGAAGCTACGTATATGCCTGGATGATCAAATTCATGAAAACAGGCAGCGGCCCGTTTGGAGATGGCTAACTTAATTGTGAGGGAAGAACTTAAGTGTTGATTCTGCTAGCGTGCTTGCCATGCCACGTGACATTATACATTTGGGTGGCACTAGCTAGCTCAGCTCAATCATTGTCAAGGAGGACGAAGGAGCTTACCATAGCTCACCAGGTTCTGGGGGTCACACTTTTCTTGTAATTCTCATGCGCACCTGAACCAATTACCAGGGCTATCGTGAGTTTGATTACTTTACACATTGATGGAACCACCGAACTCTGAAGAATGGCTTTCGAATCAGGCTTCGGTCCTGACAACAGTCTAGCTTGGAACCCGGAGTGCAACAAGTGCCTC